AAAGGAGAATATATATATTGTACCTCCACCAGGTTCAAAGTACAGAGATACCAATACGTATTTTAAGCTGAATCGCGCTTTATACGGGTTTGTCTGGAATGATTGTTTAAATGATGTTTTGACCAAAATGGGTTTCCAGAGAAGCAGAGCAGATCCATGTGTGTATGTAAGAAATGTACAGCATGATTATCAAGTATTGTTTGTATATGTTGATGATGTATCATTTTTGGCTGAAACTCAAGCAGAAATTGACAAATTTGCAGAAGAGTTAGGAAAACATTTTAAGTTAAGAAACCTTGGTCCAATTCAATATTTTCTTGGTGTACAAATTATGAAAACTGAACAAGGTTTTGTGTTAAGTCAAAAAGGGAAGATAATGCAGATTTTGGAAAAACTAAACATGAAAGAATGTAAAGGAGTTAAATCACCCATGATTTTAGGTTTTCAAAACGAAGTGGAAAATGCTGAACTATTTGAAGAGAAAGCCTTATACAAGAGCATTATTGGTCAGTTATTGTACATATGTAATTACACCAGAGCAGACATTGCATTTGCTGTGAATTTTCTAAGCAGGTATGCAAGCAACCCAACCATTGCTGCATGGAATGGACTTAAGAGGGTAGCAAGATATTTAAAGCAAACACAAGATTTTTGTTTGGCATTAAGTCCAGATGATTCACTATCCTTGCAAGTATATACAGACAGTGATTTCGGCAACTGTACTGATAGGAAATCGACAACAGGAGTTTTAATTAAGTTTTCTAATGCTGTAATTGACTGGAAGTCAAAGAAGCAGAGTTATGTAGCTTTAAGTTCCAGTGAGGCTGAGTTTGGTGCACTTAGCTTAGCATATACAGAGATTTGTGTAATCAAACAACTGCTTAAAGACTTGCAAATACCTGTTGAAGATCCAACAACAATATATGAGGATAATCAGACATGCATCACAATGGCAACACAGGCCAGAGTAAAACAAAGAAGCAAGCATGTAGATATTAAGTACAGTTGTGTAAGGGATGCAGTGAAAAATGGTGAAATTGATATGGTATATTGTAATACAAATCTAAATCTAGCTGATGTACTAACTAAGCCACTGAGTGTACAGAAACATCAGAATGTTTTGAATGATTTGGGAATTTGTGAGTGTACCATGTAATTGTATTATGTATTGTGTTTTCCTCTACACACAAGGAGGAGTGTTACAGTATATGATTTTGTAAGTCTTGACAAGAATCATCTCTTGCTTATATGTGTGTGTTGAGGAAGAACCACTCCCTGATTAGGATGTATATCAGGTGAGGTTTTCTTGATGCAGGTAGTGGGTGAAATGAAGTAATCAGAGATGGAACTATGCTACAAGGTTTGCTGGAAAGAAGCAGATTAATGCATTATTTTGTAAGTGTTTTTTTCCTTCTGCGATGGACAATGTGGACAATGTGTTTTCAAGGCTACTGTATTTTTCTTTATAAAGCTACATGTATTAACTACTCCAGAGTAAAGACATTTTCCTTTATACTCTGTGCAAATCAACTTGGGATCTGGAGCTGGGAGGACTGCTGTGTAGATTCAATATCTGGAGCTGGGAGGACTGCTGTGTAGATTCAATATAAACTAACAAACCGCAACAGTATATGCCTATGTTTAATCGTTTTAATGATTTTAATTTATAATTATATGTCAGTATTTAGTTATTGTGATTTTATTTTATTATACATATGTTCGCATTGAATTCTTGCCATTAATATGTTGTAAACTGCCTTGAGTCCCCCCAGGGGTGAGAAAGGCAGTATATAAATATACTAAATAAATAAATGAATTTTAATGGAGGTGGTGAAAGTGAAATCTGTGCTCCACAATGCCTTCCAAATGTAACTATTTTTTAATATGAAAGATCAACAGAATGCCATGTATGCATCAACACAAAACAGAACAAAATGGGTTGATAGAATTTCATTCATATTTACATGTGTCTCTCAGATGGGACAAATTGCTGAACGTAAAGTTTAAAAAAACTGGAAAAAAACCAACATTTCACAAATGAAAATGAGAGAGTTTTGTTTTAACTTCATTTTTTCATCTGTATCAGCAATAAGTAAAATAATGGTCCATTGCAGTTCAGTTGCCCACCTTCACTTTAAAGCACCTCACCTGCAATGTATCCACCAACATTTCACAAATAGAAACTAGGACGTATGTGGTTAAGCAACATTTGAATGTGACCAAGATGGAAAAAGTTAATAATGAGGAAAATACAAAAGTTAAGGTAGATTTCAGTAGTTTACTTAGCTTCATTCTACTGAGAAGGGCAAGATTCTGCCTCCTCCTTTCCTCTTCACTCTCCTAATTTGAGTCCAAACTCCTTTTGCACTTTGAACTCAGTTTACAGCAATACAGCTAGACAAAGGGAGAACATGAGTGGAAAGGAGAAAAAAAAAGTTTTAATCTATATTAAAGTGGAGGGTTTTTTTTATTTTGTTTCCTCCATTGCTCAGCCTGATATTCATCTCACTTTCGATGGAAACACAGCAGTCCCCATATTGACACCTGGCAACTTTTTCCAACTTTTCCGATTTGGCATGGGTAGTTGTGATTAATCCTTTGTTGTTCCACTGCTTTTAAAATGTTGTAACTCTTTTCCCTCTTCTTCTCCAATCTTCCTTGTCCTCAGTTTGCTTCAGTTGCTGCAAGTTGAGTTCAGCATGCATGAAGTTTGCAGTCAAATAACCAGCCCTGACAAGAGGAGAGGAACTTTTCCTTTCCCTAAAGACTCTGGAAAAACACAAACTGTTGTGGCCTATTATAACATGTCTATTCCTTATTCATAACTTTTACCACCTTGGCCACATGTTAATGTTGCTTCTCTAAAAGTTTCCTAGGTTTTCATGAGTAAAACACTGGAGAGTTTGCAATATTGTTGGGCATGCTATTACTTGTAAGCTTAGGAGTGCAAAATGTGCTTAAGATGCATGATGGGAAGAGAAAAAAAGTTGTGAGATCTGATCATGGAAAGATATGCCATACTCAAGTTTATTTGCTTTTAAAATGGCAGATGGACACTTTGTTGTCTTTGCTGTCAAAAACTGACATGAAATTCCTTCTGGAATTTCCTTACAGGTAATATATACCCCTCCCCCCCATCATTCCAAAGGTCAATACCAAGGACTGGGGTTACTTCAGTATGTGTATCCTTCAATGTGGATTGACTTTCTTTGTCTTGGCAAGATGATATGCAATTGAGAGGCAATAATAGTTCAAACTTTTATTAGGACAACACAAAGCACAGTACATTATTTGAAACATCTTGAAAATAGAGCATGCATTTTCCCACTGGTGCCTGAATTATGGAAAATGTGAGGGCCATAAAGAAAGGAAACATGCAATGCAATGCATTCCTGTTTACCATAAACAATAAGGAGTGTTTTATTTTCCTTGCTCCTGAAAAGAAGTGGGGAGCAAGGAAAATAAAGGTAGCTCTTTAGAATATTAAAGGTCACCTGTTTCCTTTGTCTACACCACATATAACATTATATAAAACACATTTGAAAAGAGCAATGAGCACATTTCCATCTGGAGACTGGAACTTCCTAAAGCTGGAAGACCAAATAAATTTCCTCTTGTCAGTTCTGTGATTAATCCTCAACCTATCCCTGTGTCACGTGAGTGGTTTGCGAGATAACTTCAGTGGTATTTGCCACCACTTAGGCCTCTAATCTGAACTGTGTGGTGGCAAAAAAGAAATAAAACATGAGCGTTAACAGGTTTCTTTGGGAAGAAGTGGCAGTCATCATGCCTGGTGTGCTATCGCAAGATAATATTCACATACTGAAAGTTCATGTGAGGTCAAAACTGAGCTGAATTTGCCAGGCATGGAACCCTTTAGAAATAGGTATTGTATTTCAGGCCTTTGGTTTCCTGCAGTTAGAAAAAGCATATCAGGCACTGGCATCCATGAGGTATGATACCTGAAGAGAAGAAGTTTTAACTTCAATACCACTTCACAGAATTAGGAAAACCATGATAGCATAGCAGTTAAGTAATCACAGAAAGATTGAGGTTGTTATACTGGACCTCAGCTAACTAAAGAGTTGCTTGGGCAAGGACCTTATCTCCTAAATAATTCTCCTGTGATTTGGTTGGCTCTACCCCTCTGGATGCGCCTCAAGTTACCAATCTATTCTGGTTTTTGATACCTCTGTTTCTGTAGGTTTCCCTCTCAATTTCTTGCTTAGCTAACCAGCTGAGCCCAGAGAGTATTCAGTCTCTGTAGAACCGAGTAGAGGATGGTCCTCCAAAACTACCACCTTTTTTTGTTCCAAATTGTTAGGTTTTTTTTATATCCAACATTGCCAACATGCAAGTTAAGAATCGGTTAAAGAATACAACATGTATACAAACTAACTGTGCTTTCATACACAACCTTCTCCTGAGAATATTACTAGAAATTCTGGCCAGTATCCCATAGTTCTGTTCCATTGGTATGGACGAAGTTGCACTTGTGGATACCTGGTTGTGAACAGTGTGCAAGGGACCAACTCCATGCAGTTTTCAGTTGCATGATTGGTTAGTACACTCAACCGTCTAACTTATTGTAAACATGAACCACAAGAACAAATTTGCTAATACGTAGTACTTACAGAAATGGAAAAACCAATTGAAATCCAGTAACATGTTTTCATCTGCTAATGTTACACTGGATTTAGACCATTGCTTCAACTGACTGAATATGTTGTTTGAAACCTTTTAATTAAAATACTTTCAGTTGTCATCTTATTGAGCCAGTGTTTCACTAGTACTATAAAATTATTCAGAATTTTAAAGTAGTTACAGACAGATAGACAAATATATTTCAAAAATTCAAGTAAAAATCATTGCACATGTACTTGGAATAAGTATGACATGCTTGTATGTGGTAGTATGTAGGATCCAACAAAGAGATGAGGAGAAGGCAAGGCAAGTTGAGTTTGTTGTTATAGGAAGGAGAAAGGTGTCCCCTGGGGTTCTTAAAAAAGATGAAAAAAATTCCAAAAGAAGAGTAGCCAAAGTACATCTTGTTAACATCACACCAGAAAGTTAAATGAGAACCAGCCTCATTGCTAAAGTATCAATGACACCTCCCTATTAAGCAACAAAGAGTTATGGTTTGTAAAGTTGTCATTGAGAATTTCTCAAGAATCCCAGTTTGAACCAGTACCAAATGAAAGCACTGTAAAAGTTCAAAAATTAATGGGAATTTCAGTTGATGAAAGTTTGGGATTATAGGCTTGCCCGCTCTGTCATAAAACTACAAACCCCAAGGTCCTTTGGAGAAATCATAATATCAGTTTAAATATGCAGTGTTGCGATGTGAATCAGACTGCCATACATTAGCTGAATTAATATTGAAATTGATTGGTCTTCTCTCTGAACAATATTGAACTCACAGCATGACACAAGCTTTAAAATAAGCTTTTCATAGTATTCTTAGTATTTCAGGATAGTAATACCATTCCCTTAAAAATGAGTTAGAGTAGATGGCTGAATGGAGCTCAGATTGGCAAAAGATCAAAAGCTCAACTGCAGGTATTTGGCATCTTCTCTTGCTCCCATTAAAAGCAGTTCACACAGACAGGTCATCGGATCTAGCCTTACTGCTGGCGTGGCTGGTTTTACTAAGCCTGCGTTTGTCAGGCAGGTAGCCATTTGAGAGCAAGCCGGGTGCAGAATTATTCCTGGCCTCAGGGTTCTGTGTATAGTTCACTTGGATAAATGGGACTTCCCCAATGATATCATCTTGGCTGTGAACCCTCTCTGTTGCAAAATTGGCTGTGTTCTGCTGGGAAGCCATTTTGTTGCTGAACGGGCTGATATACTTTCCACCAGGGTTGGCCAAACACTGGTTAAAATCTGGAGGAGGGGTGCAGCTCTGTGCCGGTTTTTTTCCTTGGATCTCTGCCTCCAGTATCCCAGTATTTGATCTAGGGCTGTTCTTGGAAGAGCGGGAGAACCTCTGCTTGACCTTTTTCCATGCCAAATGATACAGTTCAGCCAGGCTTAAGAAAAGAGAGAGTGCTGCCACGGCAAGCATGAAAACAATAAAGATGTTCTTCTCTGTCGGCCGAGAAACATAGCAGTTGACTGGGTGAGGGCATGGTTGCCGATTACATACATAGAGGGTTTCAAGGAAGATTCCATACAGCATGTACTGCCCCACAATGAAGGCTACTTCCATACCAGTACGGATTAAGATGCTACAGACATAGGTGTTCAGCAAAGTGCCTTGCAGAATGATTCTCCCATTTGAATCATCCCAGCAGGACAGCTCGCCCTTCTCTGGCGGTGGATACTCCTGTTGATGGAAAACATCACCCTTGCTCTGGATTGCCTTTGAACCTTCCTTGGCTTCTTTAAGTTTCCTCTTCTCCTCCATGCGCACTGTGTGCATCGCATGTCCCATGTACAGCAGGGAAGGGGTGGAGACAAAGATAATCTGAAGGACCCAATACCTGACGTGGGAGATGGGGAAAGCTTTGTCATAGCAGACATTCTCACAACCAGGCTGCCGGCTGTCGCACATGAAGTCCGACTGTTCGTCACCCCAGGAGGACTCCGCAGCTGTGCCCAGGACAAGCATCCGGAAGATGAAGAGCACAGTCAGCCAGACTTTCCCCACCACAGTAGAATGCTTATGGACTTCCTCCAGGAATTCTCCTAAAAAGCTCCAATCACCCATTTTTACTCAATTGGGAGAGTGGAGTCTGGAAAAAAGAGAAAGAGAGAGTTATGAAAAAGACATACCATATATACTCGAGTATAAGCTGACCTGAATATAGGCACCTAATTTTACTATAAAAAACTGGGAAAATGTATTGACTTGAGGATAACCCGAGGGTGGGAAATGCAGCAGCTACTGGTAAATTTCAAAATAAAAATAGATACCAATAAAATTATATTAATGGATGCACCAGTAGGTTGAATGTTTTTGAATATTTACATAAAACTGTAATTTAAGACAAGACTGCCAAACTCTGATGGAACCATTATTCTAACCTTCTTCAATGTAAATGTGCTTATGGCGGCCAGAAAATGTTAAATAGCCTCTGTGTATGTCTGTATGTGTTGTATGTTAAAATTGGCATTGAATGTTTGCCATATATGTGTACACTGTAATCCGCCCTGAGTCCCCTGCGGGGTGAGAAGGGCAGAATATAAAAGCTGTAAATAAATAAATAAATAAATAAATAAAGTATCATTTCAATAATAACAGAGTGAAATAATAATCATCATCATCATAATTATAAACTTAATTTATATCCCACCCTTCTCTATGACTCAGAGCGGCATTACAAATTAGGCAGCAATTCGATGCCAAATAATAAATGTAATAATAACAAAAATGAGGGCCCCCTGGTGGCTCAGTGGGTTAAACTGCTGAGATGCTGAACTTGCTGACCAAAAGGTTGGCAGTTCAAATCTGGAGTGTGAGGTAAGCTCCTGATGTTAGCCCCAGCTTCTGCCAACCTAGCAATTTGAAAACGTGCAAATGTGAGTAGATCAATAGGTACCACTTTTGTGGGAAGGTAACAGCGCTCCATGCAAGTCATGCTGGCCACATGACCTAGGAGGTATCTATGGACAATGCCGGCTTTTTGGCTTAGGAATGGAGATGAGCACCACCTCCCAGAGTCGGACACAACTAGACTTAATGTCAGGGGAAACCTTTACCTTTTTAAAATAACAATAATGATAGAGTAAAATAATAGAAATGTAATAATAGCAGTAATAATAAAGTAAAATGATAAATGTAACAACATCAACAACAGAGTAAAATGATAAATAACTTTGACTTGAGTATAAGCCAAGGGAGTAGGGCTGGGTGGTTTCGTTCGTTAATTTCGTAATTCGTTATTAATTCGTTATTTTTTTTATAACGAAGCGATATTGAACCATTCAGGAGCAACTAAAAAACGAAACGAATTTTCCAATTCGTTTCGTAATTGGTTCGAAATTGTTTCGTAATTGTTTCGAAATTGTTTCGTTATTATTTCGTTATTATTTCCGTATGTCTGGTGCAAGTTTTATAGTCGTTGTTTGTTTTATCAGTGATAAAAAAAAATTATCACACCAACAGTCAACAACAGAGGGAGAGGGAAGCTTCAGAAGTTCCTCCTGTCCCATTTGGAGGGTTTTTTAGCGTATTGCGCAATCGCGCCCGCCATTAACGAATCAATTCGTTATTGTTTCGAAATTGTTTCGTAATTTCCGAAATTTCGTAAATATTGAACGTTTTTAAAAGAAAAATTTCGGAATTCTTTTAAATAACGAAACGCAAAAACCTCCTAAAAACGAATCGAGTTTAGAAACAATTTTTTCCGTGGTTGGACAGCCCTACAAGGGAGGCTTTTTCAGCTTAAAGAAAGGGCTGAAAAACTTGGCTTATACTCGAGTATGCGGGTTTTAATTGTAATTGTTATTTTTTGGAATCTGTTTGTTTGCTGGGCATTGAATTGTGAAGCCACCCTGAGTCCCCTTTGGGGTGAAAAGGACAGGGTAAAGCATGGGAAATAAATAAATATAGGGTAATTTATTTTAACTTCTCAAGCTATCTGATGTGGAGAGTGGCATTCTTAGCTTTATCAAGCCTTGGTATCATAATTATCCATATTGTTATCATACTTACAAAATTTCCTTGAAACTGTCTTTGGATTGGCAGCCAGTGGCCAATGAACTGGCACTGGTCTGCAGGTCACCACATTGAATGGAACTGGTCTAAACAACTGTATTTCACTTGCAAATGAAAGGGCACTAAGAAAACTTCAAAGATGTTACAAAGTCTGTTGTACTTTGCCATTCTGTTGCTCTGCTACAGCATGGCAAATTAGGATGACCAAGGTGAAGTAGAGAGTAGGGAAGTACACCCTTTGGTCACTCATCTGTTCATGTTCTTGCCATGGATTAATTAGTTTATATTTAAGACATGTCTTCTAAGACCCATTGACTGTAAAAGCAGATCTTATGTATTCAATTGTGCAGATCTCAAGACCTCAGTAGCTGCTCTTGGGACCACTCAACATGCCTAAATCCTTGTTAGGCATTGTTTAAATGGATGGATAGCTAATCTACCATGAATTAAATGTGCTTTGACCTCATTTAGTCTAACCTAGCTAGACTAAAACTACTTTTTCTTCTTCTAAATAGCCTAGTTGTATGTGAGCAGCAATGGCACAGGACACAATGGTGAGTGAATGAAAGAAATTCAGGGGAAAGTGGGAGGCTTCACATCTGGATGTTCACATCAAGTGCTTGTGGCACTCTTCTTTTTGACTGCCCAGCTGCAAAATCCCATTGCTGTTTTCTTTTAGGAGGAAGGTTTTCCCTTTCTCTTTTTTCATGCAGAGTTGTAATTTCCTTTTACTTGTGCAATAGTACAGATTGAATGAGAGGGAGCCATCATGTGCCATTACTCTTAGCTGCAGACAAAGCAGTGATCCTGACAAGCAAACAATAGGGAAGGAGTTTAAAAGACCTCGCTGATAAGGTGGGCAGGCCATGCCACCCATGTACATTTCTGTCTCAGAGAATGATTCCCCTTCTACAGGCTTCATTCTTTGCCTTCAGAGAAATCAAAAATCCTTTACCATTCCCCACCACCACCACACTTTTTTTTCTTTTTTGACTTCAAGCACTAGCTAAAATTGGATCAGCGGTGATATAAATAGAAGACCTTGACAGCTATCACCATTTTGTATTCCATAAGAAAAGTGGCTGAAAGTTTACTTATTGGTATGGTTTAAAATAAATGGAATGTACAGTATATATTAAACATATTTTGATGCAAAGCCATTGTTTCTAATACACAGTTGCTCATGTAAAGTCTGGGTTCAGCCTGGGTCAAAACTGAGATTGGAAAATTAGATTTTTGTGGCTTGATATCAGTACCTTTTATCCTTTCCATATGGTGTGTACTAAAAATGAATCACTTAAAATAAGAAAATCATGAATCTCCCCCCAGGGTTCCCCAGACCTGTGTCATCATCATCATCATCATCATCATCATCTTTATATATACCCCACCACCGTCTCCCCAAAGGGGACTTGGAGTGACTAACATAAGACCAAGCCCAGAATTACAGTACAACAAAATAAAATAAAATACAAACAACAAATAATAACATCAAAATAAAATACATAAATTAACAGAAAATGAAATAAACAGATGCAAAATAACATGATGAAGAAATAAAATAAAAGCATGGTGGGCAGGCCAAATGCAAAGAATAAAATTGATAAAATCCTGGATGAGATAAGTAAATGGAGAAGTATGTGTCTGTGGGGGAACTCAGAAGGGGCGAACAATGGGACTGGGCCTTTATTAAACACAAGGGAAAATAAAATAGTTCTGTGACCAATGTAACTCAAGCTGATATACAAACACTGAAAAAAACACGGTGTAAAGGACAAGGAAATTGGACAAGGAAATTACTCAGTGGAATGTACAGATTCAGTTTACTAAGGACCTTATCACATGGAGGCGAAGAAGTGGGGAAAACCGTGGGGTAGTGTACCGTTTCGTCCCCTTACAGTGGTTTGCTGTGGGATCCCTTCCTTGCCATTTCTCCGTTGTCCTTGGCTTCCTCCCTTCATCATCCCCAGCTTCTTCTATGAGGTTTCCGTGTCTCTGTGCTGCTGGCACACTGTCAGCACAGAGCCCCACCAGAAGTAGTCCTGTGTCATCCAGTGGACTCCAAGCCAGGAGCATGCTGGCTGCACTGAAAAGTGCAAAAAAGATGCTTCTTGGCCTCCATGTGATGAAGTCATAACAATGCCCTTTTGATGTTATAAAAGTGAGATCTGTGTTTCCAGAGAAGCATCCCATGTTGATGGTGTGGTATCTAAAGCTCTGGTACCATGTTGTACAGGTGCTTAGTCACTGCAAACCTTATAATAAGGATCCAGGCAGCTGGCCCTGCCTATGTTGTGTTGAGTCTTAAAATTTTACCACTCGTTATATGTTTCTGATATTGGCTTTTAAAGTGTAATTTGAGAGGCTATACTCAAAGCCTTACAATAATAAAAAATAAAACATGCATTGAAAATGAATCCAGATAAGACAGAGGTGCTTGCCATGAAGAGTCCAAATCTAGCCTTGTAGGTGTCTCAACAAGTTCTGGATGGAGCTATATTCCCCCTGAAAGATTGCGCTCACAGCTTGGGAATGCGCCTGGATCAATCTCTTCAAATGTCAACTCAAGTAGATGTGACTGTTAGGGGTGCTTACTACTAGCTTCAGCTGATACGCCAGCTGCACCCCTTTCTAGAATCGGAGGGCCTAAAGATGGTGGCGGTGCGTAGACTTTTGTAATGCATGTTACATTGGGCTGCCTCTATACCAAGTTCGAAAACTTCAGTTAGTTCAAAACACGGCAGCCAGACTAGCTGCAAGAACATCTAGGAAGCAAGCATATTTCACTTATACTAAAGTCACTTCACTAGCTGCCAATTAGCTTCTGGTAAAATATAAAGTGTTGGTTTTGACCTTTAAAGCCTTACATGGGTCCAAGTTACCTACAAGATCTCATATTCTCCCCCAATCTGCCCCTTAGGCCACTGAGCTCTTCTGAGTGGGTGGCTACTCCAACCAGACAGAACCTACTGGCAACCATCACTCAGGGGACCTTTTCATCAGCTGCCTCAGAACTATGGAATGACCTGATAGCTAAATGAACTGTTGGAATTTAAAGCACATCTGAAGACCTAT